AGATAGCCATGGGAAAAGAAGGAAGGAAGGAAGGCAGAAAGAAAAAGAAAAAATAGCCTATGGATAGTTCCGGGTCTGTCTGCTGACCCTTATGAATGTTTTCCAGCTGGGTCTGATGCAATGCCAGGCCTCCCCCACCCCCCAGCCCTGAAGGTAGCTGGGGCTGGGGTTAAAGTCTTTGTAGTCTGACTCTTAGGCTGGCATATCTCAGTGAAGGGCCCAGCCGTGAGGGAGAAATGGCCTTTCAACTTACTGTTGCTGAAGAGGGACCCTGTCATCTGTACAGGGTCTGGGAATCTGGGCACGATTCAATAGCAGTCGCTACAGCTCATCACTGAAACAAGTAGAACCCAAGATGACTTCCTTCAGGGATGGTCAAACTTTATCCAAGAAAAGAAGACAAAGTCTCTTCCACACAGGAGGTGTATAATTAGGGGCAGGTGTCAAGAGGTGGGGCAGACACTAGCATCCCCACCTGCCGTGTCTAATTAGTTTCATGACTTGAAACCTGCCCGTCACTTAAACTCTTTGGGGACTCTGATTCTGCACCTGCCCAATGAGCCAAGATAGGTAAGTCTCTCTCTCTGGGCTTTGGTGAGGCTAAAAGGGATACCAGATGGGTAAGTGCTTTGAAGTTGCAGCTCTAAAAAGATCAAGGCCACATTATTCCTTCCTGAGATTCGGGGATATTATCTTTAGTACAGTCATTATAGAATCTTCAAGTGTGATTGGCCTGAAACCTTCTTCCTGAAGAGAAGTGCAGGTAATATTGTAGGGTTTTTTAATTTGTTTGTTTTTTGACAAAGTAGACGAGTTATCTAATTTTAGCTAGTGTCTTGCTTTATAGGAGTGCTGGTGGCATAGTGGGTTTTGTGTTGGACTGCAAACCACTAAGACAGCAATTCAAAACTACCAGCTACTCCCAGGGAGAAGGATGAAGTTTCCTGTTCCTGTAAAGTGTTACAATCTCAAAAACTCACACAGGCAGCTCTGTGTTGTTGCTGTGAGTCAGCATCAACTTGGTGGCAGTGAGTTTGGTTTTTTGAGTCTTGCATTGTGCAAATATAACAAACATAGTCAGAACGTACACAAGCGATGAAGCAAGGGTTAATTATTTGCAGGGTAAAGGAGGCATTGTTTGAGCATATTTTTAAAGAGTTGGCCTGTTTCCAGAAAATGTAATTGACATGTAGTTATTCAGAAGCATTTGCTCTACAAAATAAATGCTGTTTACATAGTAATGTGACTTTTAAAA